AGTGATATGCTGTCTCAAAATTAAGGAAAAAAAAAAAGGACTAGGGAGGTAGCTCAGTAGTAAAGTGTCCTGGGTTTAATCCCCAATACCCCCCAAAAAATCCACCTCCAAAAAAACCAGTCAATCTGAATCAAGAGCCAAGAGGGTAGCATATGCCTTTGTAATACAGCCCAAGGTCCAAGAAGGAATAAGCACTGTATGGGTTGTGGAAAATGCTCCCCAAGACATGTCCTCAGAGAAGACCAGATACCTACAGCTCTTTTCTGAGAAGTTTCCATGTGCAATATCTTCCTTATACCCCAGCTGGTTGCTCAGGGTATTTGCAGAACTCTCTATTGCTTGTTGTTTTATCCTAGGTCTGAGCCCTGTTGCCCATCTCCCTGACCTTGTGAAATACTCTATACTATTCACACAGAATTAGTCACTTCTAGCCCTGTCCTCCCTTAAAAATGTGTACATACCTCAATGATAGCAGCTGAGAAGCTGCTTTATAATTGGCAGCATATGTTCATCACCCATGCCAGGCTGCAGACTCCTCAGTGCTTTTCATATTCATATTTCTATTTGTGGAGTCTGGCACAGAGCCTGTCAAATAATTGGCACTTGATAAGGAAACACTTCAAGTGTGAGCGGATGAACAGGTGAACCTTCATACTGAAGGTGAGAAATCACTCTGTAACCTGGCCTCTTAAGCTATTCCTTCATTTTCTCCTGCCATTTTTTAAATATATTTTTAGTTGTACATGGACACAATACCTTTATTTTATTGATTTTTTTAGATTTTTATGTGGTGCTGAGGATAGAACCCATTGCCTCACATGTGTGAGGTAAGTGCTCCACCACTGAGCTACAACCCCAGACCCCACCATTTTTTTTTTCACAGAAGCTTCCCTAGAAGACTGGAGAATTTAAGAGGAAAATACAATAAAAAATATTTCAAAAATGTTTTTCTTTAAAGGAAATTACTCCCAAGATTTTATAAACTAAAAATCTGCCCTAACATTTTTTTTTAAATATTGCCAATTGCTAAAGTATGCTATTTCACATTTTGGCAGATGTTGCTTACCTATTCAAATAAACTACCATTTCCCATCGTGGTCACTCCAACAAGCCCTCATCCTATCTACCTTCTCCAAAGGTGTCTACCACCTGTGGAATTGTCAGAAAGCCTTTCCTCAAGGGGATGGATCCATTCTGCACCCCAGGGCTAAGATGATCTCATCAGTAATACCAATAATCCAGTTAACAGTACCAACCTAAAAAAATTTAATGACTGGATTTTTTTCACAACTACTATTTTACTTTTTTTTAAAAAGAAACCTGACATTAATTTTCTATGTTCTCTTTTCTGTCTTAAGATACTATCTAAGTCAACATGGATAAGAAGAAGGTGGTTTTATTACAATATCATTTGTTGTATGAATATGTGACTGAATCCTTAAATAATTGACTTAAAATGTAATTCATAGATTAGCTTTGATGAGTGATAGATGCACAGCAGGAACTCAGTCCAGTACAGGTGCGTAATAAAAGCTTAATATATTTACTACTCAACACAGTGAGATTGTGATAAATAAAAGTGGCATTATTAAATTTATTAGAATGTCACTTAACACATTTAAAGTGATATCTAAATTATAACATATCTCTTGCTCTATCCAATGAACTTTTTGGTGGTTTGGTTAAGACACATCTCTATAGAGACTCTAGTGTCACATCACCAAGAAGACATAAAATTACTGAGTTTCAAAGTCATAGAAACAAAAAAGAAATATAAAAACCTGAAGTTATCTTTGTGTATTCTACATTGTTATCTCATTAATTGATAGAACAAATGGGCAGAAAAATCAATAGGGATACTGAATACTTAACACTATCCATCATCTTGAACTAATCGATATTTATGGAACATGCCAAGGCAGAACATATGGAAACTTCTCTAAGATAAAACATGTGATAGGACATAAAATAAGTCAATAAATTAAAGAGGATCTAAATCATATAGAGTGTGTTTTCTGTCCACAATTGAATTAAAGTACAAATCAATAACAAAAACATTTCTGGAAAATCTACAAATATATGTAAATTAAATAGTACACTTCTAAAGTCTTAAAAGTGCACTAAAAACTAGAAAATCTAATGAATTGAATGAGAAGTATAACATCAAAATTAATAGAACTCAACTAGATCAATGTTAAGAGGGAACTTTATAATTCTTAAGACTTATACTAAAAACAGAAAGTTTTAAAATCTGGGATCTAAGCGTCCAACAAAAGAAATAAATTGAAGCCAAAGAAAGAATGAGAGGAACAATAAAGATCAAATTCATTTGAAATAGAAAATGAACAGAAAACAATGAAACTAAAATTTGGTGGGTTTTTTTTTTGCACATTATTTTAATGAAATAGATCATCCTCTAGCTACATTTATCTAGAAAAAAAAGAAAAGTTGCAAAAATTTCTAATAGCAAAGATAAGTATGAGCATCATAATAGATCCTACAGACATTATAAAGATAAAAGGAAAGCCAGGTAAGGTGATACACACCCATAATGCTAGCTACTTGAGAGGCTGAGGCAGGCTGAGAGCTAGAAGATCCTGAATTTGTCAATTTAGCAAGATCCTGTCTCAAAATAAAACTAAAAGGGTGGGATGGGTAGCTCAGAAGTAGAGCTCTTGCCTAGCATACATAGGCCCTGGGTTCAATTCCAACTAACACACACATGCACTTACACACATGCACATGTGAACACACACAAGATAGATGAATATTATAAAAAATTAATGAAAGTAAAATAAATAACCTTAGGTGAACTGGATAAATTTATTGAAAGATTAAAATACACAAAACTTCTTTTAAAAAAGACGTGAGTAGACCAATATTAATAAATAAATTAAATTTGTAATTAAAAACCTTCTTACAAAGAACACAGTGTTCAGATGGTCTCACTGTTTAATTTTATAAAATACTTTAAAAAACTATACCAGTCCAATAAAAATATTTCAAAATCTAGAGGTAGTAGGGAGACTTATTGATTATTTTATCAGGCCTGTATTGCCCTCTTAAAAAGATACGCAAAGATATTTCAAGAAAAAAATGTGATTAAAATGAATCATAAACATATATACAAAATTCTTTTGCAAAATATCAGTGAGGGCTGGAGAGGTAGCTCAGTAGTACAGCATAGCATGTGCCTAGTATGTGCTAAAACTCTGGGTTCTACCCCCAGCACTAAAAAACAAACAAACAAACAAAACCAGCAAATCTAGTATTATGTGCAAGAATGCATTTGAAACTCAGCCAATGCAATTTACAACATTAGTGGAATTTTTACAAAGAAGAGAACATATTTATACCCACAGATATGACAAACATATGACAAACACAAAATTCAATACCCATTCATGGGGCTTCTGAGTAAAAATTAGAATATACTTATGGTAAGAGACCAAAGTTTTCCTCTATTATTGGGTTCAAGAGAAGAGTGCACATTCTTACCATTAGTATTAAACACTGTAGAAGAGTTCCTGGTCAGTGTGATAAGACAAGAATAAATAAATCAAAGGAAGAGATTGGGAAAGAAGTTTAACTGTTCTTATTAACAGACATCATTACCATGTACATAGATTATCCTAAAAATTCTCTTAAGAGTACTGGATATGAAGTCAATATATAAAAATAGTACTGTATTTTCATATACTGCAGTGAAGAATGGGAAACTAAAATTATACACAGACATATGTACATATAAACATATATGTAATTTAATATCCAAGCATGAAATGTTAGGTAATGTTACAAAATATGTTTAAGACCTGTGCATTAAAATTTATTATTCTTGAGAAAAATCAGAGTACTTCTATCTAAATGGAAAAGGATATTCTTGTAGTGGATCAGAAGAATTAATATTATAAAAAAGAGAAAATATTTCCACTAACATTTGACATGTGTATATATTAAAATTTTTATTAAAGGAAGATTCATAGAAAACAAAACCTGGAAGCAATACAAATATACAATGACAAGTGAATGAATAAACAAAATATGATATGTCCATAAATTTATGCAATGGAATATTATGCAGCAATAAAAGGAATAAACTACTGATTCTTGCAACAACTATTGCATGAATATATTTTAAATTAGTTAACTGAAAAAAGTCAAACACATAAGAGTATACACTAAGTAATTCCACTTGGTGAAACTCTTCAAAGACAAATATAATCTAGAGGTGGAAGGCTGAAGAACGGTTACTTAAATACCGAATTGTTCAGGGGACAAAGAACTGACTGGGAAGGAATATAAGATTGCTTTTAAGGTGAGGGAAATTTTCTGTATTTTAATTGTAATGAGACTTGAAAAATTATAAAATTATACACTCAAAGTGAATTATTTTTGCTGTTTGTAACTTGAACTTCATTCAAGTTGCTTTTTTAACAAATTAAAAATATGCGTGTATTTGATTCTTGGCATTTTCCTAGAGCTCTGAGAAGCAGTGCATTGTAGGTGTGTGTCTGCATACATAGATATATCTATAACATAATAAAAAATAAGAACAGGAGAGCAATCATTGGTCAAATACTATGTTGATGAGTTTAGTTGAGGGGGAAATCTTAACTGGTTAAGATTTACAGAACTATTCATGTAGGGATAAAAATTTGAATTTCAAGTTTTCAGAAGCCAGAGTAACAAATAAAACATGATCAGCCAGAAAAATTAAGTATACAATAGCTTCATTGTAGTAAATGTCCAAATTACTTGAATTTTTTAAATTAAGCTTAAATAGTATTTCATAAAACATGCAATAAATCAAAGTAATCGAGAGCTCCAAAATCAGACAATTTGACTAAAATTCTACTTTTTTAAAACTTTTGTATAGGTCGGATTCCCACATGACACTTTAGGGAAACTTTTATAAACAGTGCTAACCCTTCCTGCACACGCTGTTCATCTGCCGGGTAACAAACAGTACATACTGCAGAATGAAAGCAGTTACGTACGTGTGTTGGTTCATTTTCATTTTTAAGTTGAGTTCTGATGTGCTTTGTTTTCGTAGAAGATCCTTTTTTCTCCTCAAACATGGACACTAGGCAATATAAAAGTGTATACATTAGAGAGATGGTAAAAGTAGCTTGTGTCCAAAGCAGGTATTGACATACAGCATATTTTACCTTTCAGAGTAAATGAGACTTCATGGCTTTTCCAATAAGGAAAACCAAAACTTTACAATCCTATTACATAGAGCATTTTCATTTGTTGATCAAAAGCCAGCCAATTTTCTCTGGCTAATATCTAAATTTCAGTAAAACTTGATTTTGACATTTTTCCTATTGAGTTTGCCAAATGCCTCCTTCTTCTCCAGGGTCTGTGATGAAGCCTACACCTGAGTAGTGGAAGTTAAGGATCCTTCATCTAGTATCTAGGTGACTCAGCATCAAATCCTGGGTTGACATTGTTTTGGACTTCCAGAACTCAGTTCGCTGGGATTGAGATCTTGATCATGGTTTCATTGTCTGCTCCACATTCAGCTTTTCTAAAACCTAGAGACTAGCATAGTTCATACAACTTCTCCCAGGCACCCTAGTCTTGTGCCAGTGCTCTCTGTTGCCATAGTTTTCAATGCTGTCTTCTTTTGAAATCTCAGCAAATTACTTGCACCCAGTTCATCTGCCAGGTAACAAACAGTACATACTGCAGAATGAGCCCTCTCACATACCACATACCATCAATTTCTCATCTCCAAAACAAATTTAGCTGATATGACTTATTAGTTTTCAACTTTTATTGTACATACCAAGAATGGGCTTTACTTCCTAACCAAGAAGAAAATCTGTGAGATGAAACCAAGTATCTGTGGTGAAATCTCTCCCACTGATTCTGAAATTCAGACAGGGATGAGGAAGCTGAAGATAAAGTAAAGTAAGTGATACAAAAATACAAGGGTCTCTGAAAAGATTCAGTGGTAAGGGTAATGTTTTAATGCAATATTTTTTAAAAACAAAATTAATACAGAATAATCCATAGTAAACAAAATATATAAATGTTAAGTAAAGGACCAGTATTTAGAGCCTGTGGCAAAAGGGAAAATTTATAATACCGAGTCTATCTTTATTTAAAATTTTGATGATTTATTCATCATAGACACTTTTACATTAAATTTGATACTTTAAATTTTTTTCAACAAAATATTAATCATCTTGATTACTGAGGTTTTTGACATCCTCTTAAATTTTGTCCTCTCCTTGTACTGGTCTGTGTCAATCAAACCAATGACTAAGCCAGATGTTTTATTATCAGCAGATTTCCTGATCCTGGGGCTGCTTGAATGTAATTAATATTTTGTTTTCTGAAAATCCCCCACCTGTCAAGCCAAGCCAATTATGACAGTACAAGACAGAGAGTGATAGAAGATCAAGTCAATTGCTTTTGCCCAAAATCCCTGTCTCTTTCTCAGGCTCTGATCCTAGAAAATACACCTATACACAAAATATGGAGGCAGACTAGGCTGATATATGTATTTTTAAAACTTCTCTAAGAGATTCCGATTGATCATTGCTCCCCCAAACCCTATCAGAACCACTGAGCTATATCAGTAAGTACACTTCTACTCAAAGTGTAGTCCGACAGCATCAAATATCACCTGGGAATTTATAAAAAGTACTTACCCTCTAGCTAAATTTTTGATCTACAGAAGCATACAATTGGGGGTAGTGGCAGGTGACTGGGTTTTAATAAGCTCTCCAGGTGATTCAAACAGATGCAGACCAAAGTGTGAGAAATGCTGATAGTATTGTTATAATTTGGATCTAGAATGTCCCCCAAGGGCTCATGTGTTGAAGGTTTGGTTCCCAATGCAGCAATATTCAGAGGTGGGGCTTTTAGAGAGTAATTGGCTTATAAGGGACCCGATTTCATCAATGGATTAATCCATCAATGGATTCAGAAGTCAACCAGCTATAGGAAGGTGATAGAATGGAAACTTGAGTAGGTGGGGCCTAGTCAGAGGAAGTAGGTCACCAGGGGTGTGTTCTACAAGGGTATATTTTGCTCCTGACCCCTTCCTTTTTGCCCCCTAACCACGATGAGGATGAGGTAAACAACTTTGCTCTCTCTTGCCCTTTTACCTGGAACCAATGGAGTCGGGAACTGACAATGGACTGAAACCTCTGAAACTGTGAGCCAAAATAAATTCTTTTCCCTATAAGTTGTTTTTCTCAGGTATTTTGTAACAGCAACAAAAAGCTGACTAATATAAATGCAAGTAATCATTTATTTGTTAATAGATTTGTGATGACCAGAGATAACCCTAGATAGCTAGCTAAGACCACATCCAGAGATAAAGACAATGCTTTTCTGAATTGCTGTTGTAGAGACAGGACTTCCCAGAAGATGTGGTATCATGTCAACCAGCGTGTCTCAGGAATAGAGATTTGGCTAAATGGATGTTTTCTTGGGGTAACCAGGAAAGGGAAAACTGGACACCAAATGAGCAAGTTATCTAATTATAATGAAAAGGTGGGTTAAAAGTACTAAATCTTTCCTGAAGCTCAAGGGAAAAGTCCAAGGCCAGGCCCCTGGGGAGGAGTGGTGGTGGAGAAAGGGGATGTCCTGGATGGGCATCCAAAGACATTCTTACAGGGGAGCCTGTGAAATCTGATGTTCTTCTCAATGCCAGCCTAGGGGTATGTAGTCAAGAAGGCCTATGCAAAGGTGCAAGGTCAGAGACCTCAGGCCTTAGAAAGTGGACTTGAAAAGTATAGGCAATGTTGTGATTTGCCATCTATATATAGTTCTAGGTGCGACTTACCTGCTTTTTTTTCAAAACAGATACCCTATGACGTTTTTTTTTTTTTCCAAAGAAGCATTTAATCTAGTCAGAAATACTAAAAGACAGAGACCATAGTTGGCTAAAATTTAAGATATTCTTGTGAGGAAAAAGAATCTCAACTCAAATGTAAAGTTCATTCAAATTTTACCGTGTTTTGGTGTGGTTCACTGAATACAGGGAATATGTGTTTGATATTTTCTGATGGAGGTTTACAAACAAAAACTTACCATAGGAATCCTAATTACTTAGAAAATATAATTTTGCAAAGTTCATGAAGTTGGACCATAACAAACTGGCAAGTCTGGGAAGGCAAAATCAGAAATGTGACCTGTCCAGAGTGGAAAGCACAAGAAAAGAAGGAGGAGGAGGAGCCAAGGTCAGTGTCAGTCACTTCAGCACAGGAGAGACTAGATACCTGGCCTGGGTGTCATCAGTGACTCTCATCACATTGTTACAACTCTGCACCGCCAAAGTAGAATCATAAAATCACCCCTGCAATCCCCAAATCCTTGCCTTTTGCCACAGCTGAGACTTGTACAACCTGTCACCTCTAGCCAGAATGTCTTTTCACCCTCCCCACATATCAGAAGAGCTATGCTTTCCTTCAAGACTGTCCTCAGGTGTTACCTTGCTTGGGAACCCTCCCTGTCCCTCAGTTCACTGTCTTCACCCCTGATATGGGCCTTCCCTTCATAACCAAACCCTCTGAGCATGATTTTAATTCTGCTTCTCTCAACATTCATGATTTATCTGAAGATAAAAATGAAATTTTATGTCCTAGTGCCTGGACATTAAAGTGCATAGTAGGAGCTCAACTACTGTGCATTAAAAGAATAGAGACCCATAATATTAAAACAGAATAAAAGTGCTGAAAAAATCAATAAAGAAGATTTGAAGTAGGAGTGGAACTGAAAAGGCAAACAGCACTGTAGATGTTCAGTCTGCTCATCTTTTTTAATGATATGTAGTGTAGAAATCAGACCATACTACTTAGGTGGCTGAAGGTTGATTAAAATCGCTGGGAGAATGAGAAGGGAAGATATGATTTATCAAGCAGGACTTTCAAGGGATATTGTGAGTTGGAGGCAGTAGGGTCAAGGGGAAGTAGGGAGGTGATGCCTTTATTGTAGGAAGTATTTTTTTTTTATTCCAACTAGCAGAGAATTAGGCAAGAAGCAACTATGCGGAGTAACCTCTGTCCTCTAGGCCATGGGGAATGGTAAAGGGGTATCCATCTCCAGTCACAGAAAGTCAGGAAAAGTTCTACTTAGAATAAAAGAATTTGCATTTGGCTGGTATCCTCCCTTGATTCTCTCAGGAACATGGGTATGATACAGGGGCCATGCTCCAACGGCAACAGGGGCTCGGTATGCATGTCAGCAGGAAACTAGCACATATGGCAGATAAGAGGGAGGTGGCGTGGTGTGAAGAAGATAGGAGAGGACACATTCTGTCTTCTACAAGGACCCTTAGAATCTCAGACTCTCAGCCACTACTCAGCCTCTGGTGACTGTTTCTAAGCAGGAATGAGGACCCATGAAGGCTAGACCTTTCCAATTTTATGAGAAAAATTCTAATTTAGTATTCAATTTCTATCCCAAGTTTTAAAAGGTAAAAAATGATCCAATTATTTTAAATCATATTGAGCCTGTCTTGTGCAGGCCAAACATTACATGTCTGAATGTGACTTATGGGTCATTAATTTATACCTACAGATAATATGGAAGGAGACGTGGGTACCCAACGATTACTGTGTAGTTCAGAGGGTAGGAGTCACTTGATATGATCCAGAACGTCACCTTCTCTCTTTACTATCTGACTTGAGATATTTTTTTTTTATATTGTTAGAGTCCTATCTACTCAAAATGGACTCTTCTACTGACATCTTCTAGAGGGAAGAGCATCTGAACTTTTTAAAAATAATCAGTTCACCACACAGGAAATCTTGCTAAGGGATATTTTCATTGTAAGTTAAGATAAAAGTAAATGAACATTAATATTTGGTGCATTCAGCTGGTGTCTGAAGAAAAAAGACATGTTTTCTGTGCTTCATGAAAAGGTACAGATTTGCCCATGGGCTACTTTAGAGAAATAAAAACACAGCCAAATTACACTATTCTTTAAAAAATGGATCTATAAAGTTCCATTTCAGACATGTGGTAACAGAGTGACACTGGGCTGGAATTCTATTAGATGATTTTCCACCGAGAATTAAATCAAGACAAACCATGGCCAGGTATTCATGTGCTTGGTAGTCCTGAGGATCGAAGAAAGGGGAAAGGCACCCAGAGCAGGTAGAGCCAGAGCTGAAAGCCAAACTCAACACATCATGTGCAGGTTTCAATCGATGCTTTTAGCTTGAATCATTTTTTTTAAATTATAATTTTATAATCCTCAGAAGATTACAGTGGGAATGGTTTGAAATCAATTTTAACTCATTTTTCATTCATACACTATTAGAAGAGAGAGCTGATTTTACTGATTCCATGGAGAAACATTCTCAGAGTTTCTATAGCAGAGAAAGAAGCTGATTTCGGTGCAGACAGATATTTCAAGCTTCAAGGGCTGTGTCTAGACTGAACAGGTTTTGTTACCCCCTTCCCCCCCCCCAAAAATCCTGTCAGGCAAGGAATGGGATGATATTTCAGGGCAGCTCAGGTACTGGAGTTTCTGCAGAACTTAGAGGATCAGCAACTACAAGACAAGCTGCTTCCGGACCCCTTGCCTGTGATTTCAGCCTTTCCCATTGAGAACTGTATTACCAACACACTTAAAAGTAAATCCTTCAAGAGGAGAAGATTATAAATCAGCCAGAACTGACAGGCACAAGTGAGAGTGTGTGTGTGTGTGTGTGTGTGTGTGTGAGCGCGTGTGCGTGCGCGCTCATATGTGTGTTTGAGCCAGAGCGCGTGTGAGCTCTCATTAGGGGACGATCTATGATTTGACAGCCTGGCGGCTGCTCCTGCTGCTGCTTCTGCTGCTGCTGCGTCTGCATGGTCTGTCATGAGTTGAAAAGGGCTGCGAGGGTTGAGAGGAACTGCAGCTCTGAAGGCTGAACGCTGCTAAGTGGTCTCCCTGTCAGTGTAGAGGAGATTTTCTGCAGGATTAGAAACTTGGACCTATTACCACTTCATCTACCCGGAAAAGCAGGCAGTACGAGAGAGGAAAAGGTAAGAAAAGAAATTATTCCCTGTTGAGTGTGGGGGACGGGGGACATGGGAAATTGTAGTTTTGAAGCCTTACTGTTGTATACCAAAGAGATCTTAACCTCTGAGAGCAAGGGAGACCACAGCTAAATTCCTACCGAGCTTGACCCTGGAGCTTCTTGCCTTCACGCACCCCTTACCCTTTCTTCTTTATTATACTTTTCCCAAGGATGTGAGAGGTTTCGTTGTATTTATTTTTAGCTAGCATATATTGTTTAGTTTTTCACTTGGGCACTATTTCAAATCCGGGAGCTTTCTCTGTTTCCTTTTTCTTAAGCGTTTTCCTTGATGAAGAGGAAACTGATCCTACACTAGTTGCAATAAAAGAAGTTTTCCAAAGTGCATAGGAACCCTGTGACTGTGGGAAAACAAGGTGAAAGGAGAGGGAGGGAGAGTTGCCTGTGAATGAATATGTACATAACCTTTCACAGGGGCTAGAACCACTGCCATAAAGGCGGACCCTGAAAGATGTTTTAAGAAGTGCTTCAGAGAAACTTCAAGGCACGAAAGATGGAGAATGAAACAGTAAGTGAACTGAACCAAACCCAGCTTCAACCACAAGCCGTGGTGGCCCTAGAATACCAAGTGGTCACCATCTTACTTGTGCTCATTATTTGTGGTCTGGGCATCGTGGGAAACATCATGGTGGTCTTGGTGGTCATGAGAACCAAGCACATGAGGACCCCCACAAACTGCTACCTCGTGAGTCTGGCAGTAGCCGATCTCATGGTCCTGGTGGCTGCCGGCCTCCCCAACATAACAGACAGTATCTATGGTTCCTGGGTCTATGGCTATGTCGGATGCCTCTGCATTACTTACCTCCAGTACTTGGGAATTAATGCATCCTCCTGCTCGATCACAGCCTTTACCATTGAAAGGTACATAGCAATCTGTCACCCCATCAAAGCCCAGTTTCTCTGCACATTTTCCAGAGCCAAAAAGATCATCATCTTTGTCTGGGCTTTCACCTCCATCTACTGCATGCTCTGGTTTTTCTTGCTGGATCTCAACATTAGCACCTACAAAGATGCTATTGTGGTGTCCTGTGGCTACAAGATCTCCAGGAATTACTACTCACCTATTTACCTAATGGACTTTGGTGTCTTTTATGTGGTGCCAATGATCCTGGCCACTGTTCTCTATGGATTCATAGCAAGAATCCTATTCTTAAATCCCATTCCTTCTGATCCTAAAGAAAACTCGAAGACATGGAAAAATGACTCAACCCATCAGAACAAGAATTTGAGTTTAAATACCTCTAACAGATGTTTCAACAGCACAGTATCTTCAAGGAAGCAGGTAAGCAAAGCTGAACCTCCAAGTCAATAGAGGAAATGTGGAATAAAGTTCCTTGTGAGATGGGATCAACTTTGCCCTACTTAGCTGATGGGAAACCAAAATGCAATCATGCAAATGTTTCACAGTGTAAGCCTCTACTTTACATATTAAATCCATCTCTAAAGCAACTGGAGATCTAAAAATAGATGGGGGAAAATTCAATAGCACACCAGTAGATATCAGTTCAGGTACTATTAAGATATAAGGAACTGTGAATAGAAACTCTTGAAATCCACCTTTAAAATATTTGTGCCTCTATGGAAATGTTATCAGAATATTTGGGCCATTTCTGGCTTCTATAGGAAAAAATTCTATTGCATGACAAAGGATTAACTTTAAGAATTCTATTGCACCACAAAGTTAACAAGAGAGTTTAGAGAGTAATTGAGTCAAAATAATGAAACTTTTCTTGCTATTCTATAGTTACCCACAACTGAGATACATAACTGAGTCATCTGGACATAATTTTGTTCATCTTGCTGGGGGTGTATTCTCTTACCTTTTCCTCTAGATCCCTCCAAGGTGTCCCAGGTTGCAGAAGCCAAAAAAGCATTTTGTTCAGGAAATGTTCTAACAAAAGGACCAACATTAAGCTGAATTCATTATAAAGAAGTAAAATTTTCTTAAATGTTTGTTTTTCTGACCAAGCTTAATTAAAAACCCCTTTATTCTTTCAGATAACCAGAATGCCCATTTTCTTATGACTGAACGTGGTTTTGTTAGCAAATGAGGTGTAACTTCATTACAGTAGATACTATTTATAAGACAATATAAGAATAAAATGTTTTTACATTATGCACACATTTATACATATTTACACAATGGTTCTAAGCACTTACAAACTTAGCTTTTAGATCCTTTCCTTCTTTGTTGAACATAATAAACAAATGATAAACATGTATTGTCACTGCTAAAAGAGAAAACATGAAATGAAAAATACTAGTTCTTTCAAGTGCCTTGAATCCCACCCCACCCCACCCCACCTGCTGCTGCCCCTTTCTCTCTCTCTTTCTCCTGCAAGGAATACAGTGTGCATAGATAGAACCTGAGTGTACTTTTTAAAGTACAAATATGGATCATTCACACTATGACTTCTTAAGTTCTAGGCTAGCTAATATATGAAGAATTGTAACTGAATATATATGCATACACACACACACACATATATATATATATACATGTATAAATACAAACTACTGAAATGTAGATGCTTTAGACATTTAGATAGACACAAAATAATTAATAAACTATAACAAAAAAAACCTTATGCAACACTATAAATGATACTGCAATTCTTGATTCAGATAACATTTATTATTAAAGCCACCCAGATAATAGAAGACCTGAGCAATTATTTCTAGTTCTTAGATTCCCGTTGATTTGGATCTAGCAATGTTACCTAATAGGTGTATTTAGCCCTTTACTACCCCAAATTTGAATAATTAAAATGTAGAAATATCTGTTGATCATCTGCTCAGACAAATATTAAGAATGTAATAAGAGAGTAAAGAATATGTGCATCTCAATTAGAAACCAAACATGGGTTAACATTTGCAGCAAAGACAGTCAGTGAGAAAATTCATTCATTAGACTCCAATTTATACTCTTGTTATAAATTCTAGAAAAGAAAACGTTTGTCTGGTCTAACGTCCTTTCTTTCAATTACAGTCATTAGTACCTATCAGCATTAATAATGCACTTTAAATTGCTAATTAGGTTACATGTTCACAGTGTTATTTCAAAGCTATCTTTATAGAGGCTGTGTGATAGAAGAAAAAGGTAAAGATTTGGCTCCAAACAACTCCAGGCTTAAATGCCAAAATCCCAGTCAACCTGTATGACCTTAGAAAAATGGGACTCTCTGAGCTTGTTTCTTCACAATAGCAACATCAGGATCTGTGTGAGGGTCCAGTGAATTATCTTATAAACACACCTAAAGTGGAATAATGATTAACACCTCAGTGCTAATTATGTTCCTTTCTACCTTTTAAAATATCTTGTGCAACTCTATGGGAACTATGATTTGTTCTTTAAAATATGCATTCACTGTTAAAGAGTATTTGTTGAGCCAATACATAAATGATATAGTAACTTCTCTAAAGAACTTTTCGGAGCATTTGGAGATGTATTCAGAACATTGGGGGTTGTCACCATAACATCAGTGTCAGCATCTAGGAGTGAGGGATGCCAAATGTCACACCATGTGTAAGACAGCCCTGCACCATGATGAAGTGGACCATTATAAATACCAATAACACCCAGGTTGAGAAACACGGGATGACATATAAATCAATAGGAGTGTGTTTAAGTGTGTCATGTAATTCAATCTTGATTATAGATGGGATGGGAGTTTGGATAGGGTGGCAGGGATCATAGAAGTCTACATGGAAGACGTGGCATTTGAAAAGCAAAAGTGAGAGGGAGAGCACTCCATGCAAAAGAGACACGACATGGTGGCTGGATTAGAAACGGTATAGGTTCGAAAAGGGGACAAGAAGGGGCACAAAAAGTAGGGTCAACTTGGTTGACTTTAAATGAATAATGTGTTTGAGGAGACGTAAAAATAAGATTGAATTGATAGAAATATCTTTGAGAGAGAAAGAGAGACCTGGAGGACCCAACCATGACACACACACAGAGGAATCTGAATCTAATGCAGAAGCAACAAAAGGTGTGAGTACTGAGCAGGGAGCAGCAAAGATGAAAGTGGTGTCTGAATGGGAGATATCTGACAGCTACAGGCAAAGGCAGTTCTGAAGGCCTACAGGCTGGTGGCAGAAAGACCTCTATGGAGGCTATTAGTAGTGATGCAGGTTTAACGTAGTAAGATCCTCTATCAGGAGAATTTAAATTCAGATATAACCCAAGAGGCATTTCAAAGAAAGAATGAGTGGACTATGAAAACCTTAGACACAAAGGATGAAGAGAAGGCAATTCAATATGACACCAGAGTTCCACATTTGGAAGAATGGTGTCACCCTTTGTGAATGGGAACGTAAGCTAGGAAGGGAAGTTAGTTTGGGCCAAAAGGAGTGACCCATGATGTGCATTTTCCCTTTTCTGAAACAGTTCTTTTCTTAAATTTTTGTAAGTTTCAAACCTCTAACTTCTATAACCCAAGGAATTTTAATATTTTTTTCTACATATTTTCTTTGAGGCAAGTTTAATTTACATTTTAATAAATACTATTCTGGGCCAGGTCTTTCTAACCAAGTTATTAAAGTCTAATATGCATAGCCTAAAGGAGCTACAATTTTAAAAGGAAATAAGAGAGCATTTATCTGTAAAGGACAAATAAGAGTTTTTGTTTGCTTATTTATTTTTAACTCACATCCCTCACATAGCAAACCCAGGCCAGAAATCTCTTTCTTCCTCTTTTTTAGAGATTCAGTTATATTTTAGGAAACCACCTTAATATCAGGTAAAATCAATAAAGTAAATTACTCAAATTTATGATTTGAAAATGAGTAGAAAAAAGAATTATCTGACTGATTAAATATTTTGCGTTATAATTGGACGTTTTGATTTTGAAGGGACACAGTTTAAATGACCACATTTGTTATATTCCAGCTCTGTGTATTCAATGCTGAAAGATCCCTTAGCTCCGTGAGCATTATGTAGATAAAAGATCTCTATCATTGACTGTATATGTCTATTTAATTGGTTGGTTCTTTTGGTATTAGGAAAGCACAAAACACCGGAACCTCTTGGTAAAAGACTATAATGTGAATACTTACTTCAATTTGAATATTTGTTTCCACAGGATGCAGGGATATGTACTCAGACTGTCTTAGAGATCAGGTTTCCAATTTTTATTTTCAGTGGAATCTCTGGTGTCTTTTTTCTTTTCTTATAGTATAACTGTAGGGAAACAAGAGCAGTCCAATAGAGGGTCCAAGAACTTATGGCAAAAAGTTTATTAGTGGCTTTATTTGACAAATCAATCCTTATAAGTAGCGATTTTTATTCCTATAAAATGCTTTAAAGATTTCTACCCAACTAGAAAGAAGGTTGATAGCCCAAGAAACAAAAACTTCCCTTTTTAAAGCAATATATGCCTTTTTGGTGATGATATTAAATTAATCATGTGTATTATAGAAAACAGAAAACTAGGGAAAAGGAGAAAAAAAAAAAAAACAAAAAAAAGGCATCTCTTACCCCTCCTCTCAAAGACAAAAATCATTACCACATTGTCGTGCCTCTTCCTGTTTTCGTCGGATCATTTTTTAGATTGTGATAGTCAGAATATAGATACACTTGCTTCCTGCTTTGTCATACAACATGATGGGATTATTATTCTCAAAGAGAACACACAGGGTAAAAGAAACTGATTAGGTCCATTACTCTAAACCTCAGTTTTCTCGTCATTAAAATGGGCAAAACAATTACCTCTTACCTCGCAGAGTTACTGCTGAGATCAAATAAGACGTATCAGAAAAAACTCATACTTGCTCTCTTCCTGTTTAGTTAGATCCTCGTCTCTCCTGCCTGTGATCCTCAATGACCCCATCTCGTGCCTTCATGACCCTCTCTTAAGCCATCCCCGTTCACAGGCTGTGCTTGAAGAATGCTGAAATAATGAAATGGCTTGGATTTGTTCTCCCTTTTCATCTCCCTCTAATTTCTGACTACAGTGCTACTTAACTTCTTAAAATCTTAAACAAGGAAAATTCCTTTGGACACAAAGGAAAAGAGCCAGGCTGGTGGAATGTCAGGCAGCAGAGCTGGTATTTGGAAGTACAAAATCCTTTAGGCTGTGTGACTTACACAGCAGCCAACTCCACCTCCATCCTAGGGAACTCCTGCTCCTTGCCCTCCAGGCAGCTTAACCAGTGATGAGCTTTTCAAGGCAGAAAGACTGGAGTCTGTAGCATTGGCCCTAAATCAGAGCCTACCCGAGTTTAAGGGCCCATCTTTCATTTTTAACTGTTTTATTTGTTCAGATTGTCTGGGTTCAACTATATCCTTAATAGCATAAAGATCTATACGAAGTTGGAAAAAAAAGTACAGTGTTGTCACTTAGCACACAGGTAGCAAAACATGCCATTTTATTTTCATTTATAAAACTTGGCTTTCCACTTTCCAATTCACATCTTGTATAAGGACTTCTCACATATCCCATAAATTGACTAAATGATAATCCTTTGCAGTAATGTGCTTCGGGTCTTTTGTCTTAGCCGAACAGATCTTGTTTATTCCCAATTTTAGATTTTCAGCTTTGCACCATAATTCTACCGGTAGAGAAAAATAAATTTTCTTACATGGCTACAGAAAAAGAAAACCTGCACTCTTACAGAATTCTCAATTTGGCCACATAAAAATGTATCTGAAAACCAGTTAACCTTGAAAATGAGAAATTATTTTATAAAGCATCTCATGAATTCTTCAAAATGCAGATACCCCAAATTCCCGACAGGCAAAGCCTGGGCTGTAACTAACATTTTAGCCTCCTTTGCTCTTTTATAAATAAGCTGAGGGAAAGGTGAAAGGTGTAAAGCTGGAGTTGGGTTGGCATTATGTAAAATTTCACAGTAGGTCATTTAATGTCCTCTGCAATTTTATTAAACACTCATAACTCCAAGGGCACCTGCCCTGCCCTAGATATGAAGGTTGCAGGTGATATGAAGACAAACTCTTCCCCTGCAAGGGATCCATGCTGGCTGTATCTACTAGTAATCTCTTTTCACAATAGAGAACATGCACAGTGAGGGGAGAAGTGAAAGGGGAGACAGCTTTATGGAGCACCTGATTTGAGCTGCACCTGTAGAAAAGGGCTAAATGTTGGAAAATGGTAATAAGGAGATAGGGAGCAAAGAGAGGAAGACAATTCAACAGAAAGGAGGAGGAGTAGATGGGAGATGACTGGGTATGTTCAGAATGGTCTTCATATGGTTGGAGTAGATTATGGTAGGGGATTATCTGGGGAGAGAAATCTGAGCTATGCTGTGGCCCCTGCTGAGCGCATGCCTGCCCCCTCCTAGCCCTACCTGTACATTCTTCATACTTCTTCTATACACATGTTGACAACATCAACCACCTATGAGTCCCCAGGACATAGTTCTAGAAAACACATCGCCTGGTCTTCATATGCAATTACCTTTTGGATGTCACGTAATAACATCAAATCCATAGACCTCTATCTCTTTCTTTCTTATTTTACATTCTCAAGCCAGAAACCTGGGAGTCCTTCTAAAGGCCTTTTTTTTTTTCCCATTACCCCTCACTCAAATCTAAGCAATAGGCAGTTCTGGTCGTTCTGGCTGATAGTGTTGGTAGCTGACCTGCTTCTCCACCCACACTGCCAGTGCCCCAGTTCACCACCTCTCGCCACCCCATTTCAGCACACAACTTTCCAGCCCCTCCAGCTCTAGTTCCTCTCTCCCCACAAGTCATTCTGCATGATGCTGACTGAGGGAATCTCTCCAACACAGATATATATTATCAAAATAATCTTTAGAGTCCCCTGAGACCTAGAGTTTAAACTTCCCATCACAAAGAAGATCTTGGCCATTCCCTACATTTTCAGCTTTATCTTTCATGGCTCTCTCAACTTACACTTTATGCTCCAGTAACATTGAATGATTGGTAGTTCTTTGAACATGCTATGCTCTCTCAGCTGGAACACCCTTTATCTGGCAAACTCCAAATTATCTTTCAAGTCTCAATTCAAATTATGCCCCATTGCACCCCATCAAGACTTCCCCGAATTTCTCAAGCAGGTTTATATAGCTAAATCCCTAACTCAAACTATATAAGTTAGGTGTTCTTCCTATGCACTCATTGTAGTTTGCATATGTTTCTGGTTTAGTAATTCTTACGTCTCATAGTTATTAGCCTGTCTTGTCTTCCCTATACCCACTAGCATCCTTAAGAGTAAGGTCTTGTGTTCCCAGTACCTACTGCACTGAATTTGGTATACACTTGGATCCTCAACATGTACATACCCAGTCAGGGAGTACAGGCTTTGCAAGAACAGGTTGTTAGTCTTCCTTCCCAACTCTGCAGTCAGTGCCATCATGATGCTTGCTTCAGGTTGGCTGTGGTTGGATTATTTACACTACAGAAACCGGTAAATGTAATGATCCAGCCAGCCCTTGTATTTTTGTGGAGAGATGATTGTTAAATATTTACCAGCACACTCCTCTTTGTGTGGTTATATCTCAAACAAGTCATCATTTATATATAATAAATGAAAGATAAATGCCTGCATACTTGGAGGCTTGGTCAAGTCAAAACTGTTTTGCTTCCTGAGAAAAGTGCTGTTTATTTGGGCAATATCCTTATCCTTATCCAGTCCTGTCTTTTTTGTTTTGTTGTTGTTGTTGTTGTTGTTGTTGTTTTCCCTTTCCATCAGTACTTTTATTTTTTTTTGTTTCCTTTTTTTTATTGGTTGTTCAAAACCTTACAAAGCTCTTGACATATCATATTTCATACATTAGATTCAAGTGGGTTATGAACTCCCATTTTTACCCCATATACAGATTGCAGAATCACATCGGTTACACATCCACATTTTTACATAATGCCATATTAGTGACTGCTGTATTCTGCTACCTTTCCTATCCTCTATTATCCCCCTTCCACTCCCCTCCCATCTTCTCTCTCTACCCCATCTACTGTAATTCATTTCTCTCCTTGTTTTTTTTCCCATTCCCCTCACAACCTCTGATATGTAATTTTGTATAACAATGAGGGTCTCCTTCCATTTCCATGCAATTTCCCTTTTCTCTCCGTTTCCCTCCCATCTCATGTTTCTGTTTAATGTTAATCTTTTCCTCCTGCTCTTCCTCCCTGCTCTGTTCTTAATTGCTCTCACTATATCAAAGAAGACATTTGGCATTTGTTTTTTAGGGATTGGCTAGCTTCACTTAGCATAATCTGCTCAGTCCTGTCTTTTAACAAGTCCTTTTTGCATTACAAACTAACCAAAGTGCAACTAACCTGTGTGATAGTGATTAAGTGAGTAGATAGGAACTTTTAGGAAGATTTCTCCCACCACACAGGTCAGGCTGACTTAGAAACATGGCAGACTCAGATAATAATTCTCTTTGTTATATAAAAAAAAATCATTCTGTCTTTCTTGTGAGACAGTATTGGCCAGAGGGATTATGAGGCAGAGCAGAGGCAACCCAGGGAAGGAAAACAATATGAGCACAGGTTTAAAGATGATAATAAATTTATTTGAATGTCCCATGTGACTAATTTTCCTAAAATGATTTGCACACATCATTTTATTTTTTAAATCTCCAATTCTCTCTGGCTTTTCAAAGTCCTATAAAATATTACCCCTTTCATTATTCTGGCTTTGCTTACTCTTTATCTGTTTAATTTAATAAACATTTTTTAAGTGCCAGTTTCATGCTAAGCACTCTTCTGGAGAACCAAATGATAGTCACTATCTTGTGGAACTTACAGTGATATACAAAAGATTGACATGAAAAAGTAAGCGGGAAGCCTGAAGTTAGTTTGTAAGGTGTATGGAAGAGGCAACAATAGTGTGGATGACCATAACCTCAGGATGGACAGCACGCCTCCTATGGAGCAAGACTCACTCCCACTCTTGAAGAATAAGTCGGTGTTTTCCAAGCCAGCATACAAAACCAAGACCTTCACACCAGTAAGTAGTCATTCACAAAACCAAGTTGAGCACAGAGTGAGACCATGAAAGGCCCTGCAAGTCATCTGAAGGCATCTAAACTTGGTTTTTAGGTACCGGGCAACCACTGAAAGCCTTTCATACTCACAATGACAAATGCAACTTGACTCTTGGGAACTTTGCTCTTAAAATTGTTTGATGGAGCCAGCCCAGAACCAGAGAAACAGGGATGAAGCT